CATGGCTCACTCGGGAGAGTGCGGCGCTGGTAGTGCCAAGGCTGCGGGTTTGGATCCTATATTGGGATGGCCAATGCGCTCACTGGCTGAGCGTGGTGCAGACCACACCGTGCGGAGGGTTGCGATCCCCTTACCGGTCAAAAAAAACATGAAAAGATTCTTACTATCTTTTAATTCTGTTTTTCCACAAACGTTTTGAAGAACCCTTGTATTTCCAAAAAGAAATTTGTAGCAGCTACTATATATAATGCTTAGAAAATAACTTTGGGGGTTTTTTTGCAATATGAAATGTGTGTACATATTTTAAAATCTTGACAGGTCTTAAGATAGAATTTTGTGTCCTATTTTAGGTCTCTTGATGTTTTAAGTGATGCTGTTTTGAAGGATCTTTCTGTATTTTACCGAAAAATGGTAAGGTTTATGTTTTTTTGAAGATTTCAGCAGCTGTAATGTTACCATCTAAAGCAGTATATTATATCAGACTTCTCAATGGAATAATTTCCTAATGAATTCTAATGTATTAGGATCTTTTAAAAGTGAGGACATAGGATTTCTTCACAGATCTCACAAATAAATATGATAATCAAAATTGAAGATACTTAATAAAATTAATATCTGTTTTAATTCTTTATAAACGAGAGTTCCTGAAAGCTTCAGAGAAAGCATCAGGACAGTGCAAAAACATGGATTCACATGATCCCCAAGAAATGGATTAATCTGTAGTTAATAATAAAGTGGAGTTTTTTCCAAGTTTTTTTGGACAGTTTTATGGAATAGACTTTTTAGTAAACTAATCAGATTTTTCTCTTCTTATAAATTCAGGAAGTTATTAGGCATTCCAGATTTTTTCTAGTTAATTATACCATATATTAAGACAAGTGGAATAATTTGCCTATTTTTAAAGAGCATCTTTACAAACTTTGTATTTAAAAAGTGACATCATTAATTCTCCAGATTCCAGCAATGGACAGAAGAGTCATTACACCATATCAAGATGGACCAGATATTAGCTATTTGGAGAAAGAAGATGGAGATAACTTTTTGAAAGAAGAAACAAATATGGAACAAAATTATTCGTAAGCTCTATTTTTGTTTTGTTTTTCTTCCTTTCCTTCCTTCCTTGTTTCCTCCCCCATCTACCCCAGTCTTGGACACTTGACACTTTTGTACTGATATCAGAAGAAAAAATTGAGCAATTCTGACATGAGAAGTATGAATTTATGTTCATTTTTAGCCTTGACATAATACAGGTAAATACATAATTAATATTTATAGTCTAACAAATTTAAAGTATAAATATAAAAACAGTGTAACCTTCAGGTTAAACATGTTTGGTTAAATAGTGTATTTATCTTAGTACCTCCCTAAACTTTGCCATGATTGCAGTTAAAAAAAAAGGCATATTGCACTGCAGCAGAGAGAACAGGAAAGGAGCAAACAACAGTCAGGAGATGTTTTGGAAGTTAGAAAGTGGGTGCCAAGTGGTAATGACTTAGAGCAGAAAAAGCTAAAACAGAATTCTGGAAATGCTTAAGAATTAGTGGTACCACATTTGTGAAGACTAGGGTGAATTAAGGAACATTAGATCACTGATCCCTTTTTGAACCCCATCCAACCAAGTGATTGCCCTGCCTCCATTTTGGCAGAAGACTAGAGATTTGACCTCTGGAGAGATTGAACAAGAGAGGTTGCAGAAAGGAGTGCACCAGCCATAGATGAGGTACTATTTTCAAAGGATTCCTCTCTAGAATACCTGACTATTTCAACAGATACAACCTGTAGTGAATGACATTTGAGGTCCTCTAACAGAATATCCCAAGATCTACATAATCCCCCTGTAGTGAGTTGACCATTTGGCAAGCCCTGCATAGAATTTTTAATCAGCAGTTTAGGCTTACTTATCAGCTGTTTGCAGAATTCCTTTCCTCTTGCCTGGTAAATGACCTGCTAAAGTGAAATCTTTGGGTGTTCAGTTCATTTACTACATATAACCAGCTGTGTACCTCATTGAAAAACTGTTCTTGAATTTCAGAGATGTCCTTTTTTTAAAATCCCTTTTGTAGTGTTAGATAGTATTTGCAATATTTGAAATTTATGGATATCTGACTTAGGTGTATGACATGCTATTATGTTTAAAATTATAATAAAATTAACATTGATATAAATGACTCATGTTGTCTTCTACAAAACAATGGTATTCACAGCTGACTTATGTAACTGGATAAAATATATTATGAGGTCTGTAATTTTTAGGTAAGACAGTTGTGGCCCTCAGAGATTTTATTTTCTTTTTCCTGCTTAATAGTACTTAATTCAGGGCATTAAGCATTCTTAGAAATGCTTTAAAAAATTACCACCAAATATTTGTAGTTCAAGATTATAGTTTGTAACAGTTTGTGTATATATGTACAGTATTTTACTTTTCAAAGTATTTTCCTCTATACCATTTTGTTTCTAACTTTCACAGAAATGTTAGGGTAAGAACAAGTAATAGTATCACACTGAGATCCAGTGAAATTAAGTAATTTGCTCAGGACCACAGAGATAAACGTGAATAGAGGGTATATACTTTACATAGTTTCTATTTGACAAAAATGCTGTGATTAAAATGCATAGTTCTTCTGCTGTTTCATCTCTAACTCAATTCATTTTAAAAATGATTTTTTATGTTTGCTTTTTCCTAGGGAAACTATGTTCAAGAAAGCAAAAACAAAAGCTAAAAGGAAGCCACGTAAGCGTTCAGATAGTTCTGGAGGTTATAACCTTTCAGATATTATTCAGAGTCCACCATCTACAGGTTAGTGAAAAATGTGTTAGCATATATTTCCAGTTCTAATCTTTGATGTCTCTGTTCATTATCTAATTCATTTAACATGCATTACATAATAATATATGCCATCTGCTGGGGCTACTGAAATAGAAAATAGTTCTTATGGAGGCTGCAGAAAATGGTAGTTTATTGTGATAAGTACTCCCATTGAAATTTGCTTTGAGAGCACAAAAGAGGTACTTCAGCTGGTCTGAGAAGATTGGGGAACATCTCTTAAAGGAAAGTGATGCCGAGCTGGATCTTGAAGAATTAAGTGAAGTTAGTCAAAAAAAAGGAGGCAGATGAACATAGTAAGCAAAAGGGGGCAATATGTTCCCAAGCCCGAGGCAAAAGAAAGAACCCATTTCCTGTGCATATACTGTAGTACCCCCTTATTTGCAGTTTTGCCTTCTGCAGTTTTAGTTACCTGTGGTCAACTGCAGTTCAAAATATTAAATGGAAAATTTCATAAATAAATGATTTATAAGTTTTAAATTACATGCCATTCTGAGTAGGTTGATGAAATCTTGCACTTCCAGCTCTGTCCTGTCTGGGATGTTAGTCATCCCTTTCCTTCAGCATGTCCACCCTGTATACGCTACCTGCCCATGTGTCACATAGCAGCCATCTTGCTTATCAGATCAAAAAAACATAGTATATACAGATGCTCATCAACTTACAGAGCTAAATGCCAATAAACCCATCATAAGTCAAAAATATTGTAGGTTGAAAATGCATTTAATACTCTGATAAACTCACCATAAAGTTGAAAAACTGTAAGCCAAACCACTGTCCAATGGCATAGTGAGTTAGATGTTGGCAAACATGAGAGATACTATTGTTATGTCAATTTAATTCAAATATGTCAGTGCCCCAAGCAAGATGCCATTCATGCCTAGAAGCAGATTATAATCTAGTAGTAGATTATAACACACTTTATTTATATCTAGGCTTTTGTGTGAGCCTGTTTGAAAGTAAAGGTTATGTAGTTTTTCTAAAATTATTTTCCTGTTTTTACTTTGAAAATCGTTAACTTACTGAAAAGATGAAAGAAAAATACCATGAATACTTGTCTATTCTTTATTCAGATTTATTCCTTTTACCACATTTGCTTTTTCTTGCATGATCTCTTGCTTGCTGCCTCCCCTCACCCTCCAAGCATTCTACACACACACATATATGTGTGCGTGTATGTGTGTATTAATTAGAGAGACCTTTTTTTTTTTTTTTTTTTTTTTACTGATCCCCTTGGAATAAGTTGTGAATATCCTAAGAATAAGAATATTCTCCTAAAAGTAACGATATTCTTCTGTACAACCACAATAGCATGAATGAATGAATCTCCGAAGAATAAGAATATTCTTCTGTACAACCACAATACCATTATCATACCTAAGACAATTAACATTGTCTTAGCCTGTTTCGTTTTAACCTTAAAAAAAAAAAATCTAGTATCACACTGACTTTGTGTATTAATACCTCTTTAGTCTCTTTCAACTAGAACAGTACCCTCCACACCTTTTTTTTGTATTGTTTTTTCCAAAGTTCAGGCTAGTTGTGTTATAGACTATCCCACATTCTAGATTCATCTGATCTAGATTAAACCTTATCAATTTTTGACAGTTACTTTAGATAAAGCATGAAGTGTGACTAAAATAATAAGACTACATACAGCAGTAGCTTTCAGAAATGGTGGATGTATTTTATCTATAATGGTAAGACATAACCTGTGCGATTTCTATTAACAGTAATTTCATATTCAATCAACTCCATATAAGTGACTTATATGGTTGATGGTTGATATAAGTGACTTAAACCTAAAATTGATTATGAAGCACTGAAGATAGGAATCAGGAGACCTGTTAAATGGAGAAGACATATCTTAGGACCTTTCCAAATTTAAATTCTGTGATCATGTGTTTTCTGTGTTGTATGAGTTACTTTTATTTCTTAGAAGGAGTCAAGGGTGGATTGATGGATAAATAAGTGGGTAAACAGTCATGAAACTAGTGATTTTTTAGTTACCTAAATGATTTATGGAAAAAGCAGATATTTGGTTTGTTTTAAATACAGTTATTGTTAGCACATGTGTTAGAATCTTAGCATTTCAGGGCTGAGCCCATGGCGCACTCGGGAGAGTGCGGCCGCCGTGGGTTCAGATCCTATATAGGGATGACTGGTGTGCTCACAGCGCTCACTGGCTGAGCGCGGTGCGGCCGGTCTCAAAAAGGACAAAAAAAAAAAAAAAAAGAATCTTAGCATTTCAGAACTGAAGTAATTTGTCCCATACATTAAACCTGAGGAAACGAGCTCAGAAAACATTAGTGATCTGAGGTAGTGACAAAAAGAAATAGAATTTACTTTCTTGATTCCAGTTCCGTGTTCTTCTTGGTATACTGTTCTTTCTGTGGTCAAAGTAGATAATGGTTAAAAGATTAAATTTAACTGGGGGCCAAAAAGACCTATTATGGAGGAAAAGTTGAGTATGAGACAAATTTCATCAAAGACAGTTGAGTGAAGGCTTAACATTTGTGTTGATTCTTAAAGTTAAGACAAATGACATTCTGTGAAACTGTTTTTGACCAAAACTAATTGTAGGCTGCTTTAATCATCCTCTTTATTTTCTAGACTTATTTCTAATTGAGTTTTATGAATGTTCCAGTATTAAAAATGCTCTCTGAGATGGAAATTTGCCAGTCTTAAAAATATACAAAAGATATGGGAGAAAAATTTTTGAATATTAATTCCGAACTATTTTAACAGTGATAACAGCAAAAGAAGCATATAGCTTGTCAAGATCATTTACTTTATTTATTTATTGAAACATAATTGATTATACATATTTGGGGGTACAATGTTGACTATCATAATTTGTGTACAATATATAATGGTCAAATCAATATTATTAGCATATTCATTATTACAAATTGTAATTATTCTTTGTGTCCCTTACCCAATTTCTCCCTAACCCCTCTCTGCCTCTCCTTTTCCCATCTTTAGTAACCATGGATTTGTTCTCTCCTTCTGAAAGTTCAATTATTATTGTAGTCTTTTTTCTTTCTCTCTTTCCTCCTTCCTTTCATTCCTCCCTCCCTCCCTTGAAACTTATCAGAAGTTTACTTTGTACTCTGTGTTTGAAATGATTCTTCTATGCTAGTGAACTTGGATACCAGGTATGGCATGGAGTCAGGCATTTAGCTTGCCTAACAGAAGAAATGGTATATAAATTTGCTAACAACCCTCTTGCTTCAAGTGATACGTTAATTAAAATAGCTCTGAATCGCCAGAGATTTTTTTGCAGAAGAACAAACTCTGAAACAGGCTACAATTGGCTTCTGCAGGATCGTTTGCTACTGGGCCAGTATGCTGGCTAAATAAGAGACAATAAGGCCACAGTGGTTCCTCCCACACAGAATGGAGCCTGTCTCCTTTGTGTGGGTACAGAGACTTTTGTGCAAGAAGACAAGTTAGAAACAGAAAGGGTTGTGGGGAGGAGGTCTGGGGTTTATTAACTTTGTCTTCTTTATCTTTTATGGAGGGAAAAAAGTTCTCAATCACTTCTTAAAGCAGATCCCAAAGAACTGTATTCCTCAGGTTCATTGTGCAATTGGCATGTAATTGTAATGAATAAAAATAATTTAGAATCTCCTTCATTTCAGTTTTTCAGTTTAAACTATTTTCTTTTTTCAGTTAGCTTGAATTATTAAGATTTTGTTGCAGCAAATACAATTTAAATAGTATTAAATCTGGATAAATCAAAGCATTTAGCTATTTGGTTCATAGAATATAATGCATATATGTTTAACGCGTATGTGTTTAAATATATTTTTTTCATGTTTTAGGATTATTAAAGTCTGGTAAGACCAATTCTGTGGAATCTCTTCCAGAACTATTGACATCAGACTCTGAAGGAAGCTATGCGGGAGTGGGTAGTCCTAGAGATTTACAGTCCCCTGATTTCACAGCAGGATTTCATTCAGATAAGACCGAGGTTGGTTTTTTAAGCACTGCTTCCTTATCTTCAATTTTTAGGTCAATAGACAGTTTATCTTTAGTTTTTCATTATTTTTGCTCTAAGTTTAAAACACTCTGCTGATTGGTTTATAAGAATGTATAACTGATCACACAATTTATGTAGTGTTCTCTCAAATTTTCATAACGTTTCTAGTTTTAGAGATTTAATGGCATTTTTGACCATTATTTCTAATCTTTTTTCTGCAACAAAAATATAATGTTGATGTAAGATATTGTAATACTGTATATATATTGAAAATCATATTTATAGTTAAATTACTGAAATATTTTTTGTGAAATGTCACTTAATATTGGTCAAAAATTGTCTAGGAAAATGATTTTGAAAATAAGCCTAATTTCAAATTCTCCATAGTCTCTTTCTTCCACAGAGTTAACTGTAGCAAAACAAGCTGGAATGATTGAGTTCATCTCCTAGTACAGACATTAAAGCTGCAGGATTCCTAGTCCAGTCAACCCTGAGGGTGTGGGGGGGAGTGTATATTTTAGGCACCTCTTAACATTTTATTCCATAGTTGTTAGTCTATAGGGGGAAGGTATATATCTAACTTATTAGAAATAGAGTCATTTTTCTCTAACCCCTACACATCCACAAAACATATTGGAACTTCTAGGAATTTGTGAGACAATAGAAATTTACCCTTTCTTCTTAGAGTCTTCTAGGCCCCAAGGATTTATTTATTTTTTAAAATATATGGTAGAAATATGGGGGCAATTCATATTCTCACAAAGTTTGGTCTGGAAGACAATTGAGATTTAAAGGAAGGTTGAGGCATATTGAGAATTTTTTGCAATAATAGAAGAATCTATCTTGGCAGTGGAAATAACATTTTAGTAACTTCCTTGACCTGTTATAATAGCAATAGTTTTAGAGTTCCTTTTGAAGTGTCAATATTATTTGACTTTAATTTTATTTAGAGTACTTTAATTATAATCAGAATAAATTGTATGACATTCATACCAAACTTTTATTTTGTTTCATGCTATGAACATTAATTTTAAACTTACTGCTTCATATCTTATTTGTTCAACTTTTATTTATTAACATTTTTGTTTGCTATTTGTGTAAGTAGGGATTTAATACACAAACTTATTTCTCTAAAAATTATTCTCAAAGCTCACAATGATCAGGGTCAAAGAATTGGTTTGAAAATTGGTTAAATAACTAAACTGTAGGAAGAGCATGAATTAAAAGTGCTAGATGACTTATTGTTGTTAAGATTGTATACGTCAATATACTGTAACCAATATTTATTAAGTGCTAACTGCGTGTTAGTTACTCTCATTTACTTTTAAAAATTTTTCTTCCCACAGGGGAAAGTTAAACCATATGTCAATGGTACACCTCCTTCATATTCTAGGGAAGAGTTAAAACCATGGGAAAAGTCACCAATACTTAAAATATCTGCTCCAGAGCTCATTCCCAATAACAGAATTGAAAATATCAGCTCTTCTAGTTGGGTTGCTGGCTCTTTCAGGTAATATTTTCATTTTGTCCCATACCTGTTAATCTGAGAAATATTATCCATTTTTAATCAAATTTAAAATTTTAATGAAGCACATTTTAAAAAATTAACATAAATTTCTAATACACAGAAAATTACCTTAATGTGTATAAATTGCTAATCAGCTATAATAGGCTTTTTCCCCTCAGGCTAAATTTAGCTGCCTTTGTATTATCATCAATGAACAGTAGCAAATACTGTATTTGTGTAGTATTTGCTGCTATGTACACATGAGCATACTTCAAAAAGTTCATGGAAAAATAGCACTAAGGGCCGGCCCGGTGGCGCACTCGGTTGAGTGCGGTGCTTGGGAGCACGGCGGCACTCCCACCGAGGGTTTGGATCCCATGTAGAGACTGGTCCGCTCACTGGCTGAGCACGGTGCGGGCGCAACACCGAAGGTTGCAATCCCGTTGCTGGTCATGAAAAAAGACAAAAAGGAAAAAAAAAAAAAGAAAAATAGCACTAAAAAAATAATATAAATCTTCCCATGAACATTTTGAAGTACCCTCATGTGTATGGACTTAATATCAGCAATTTTTCTTAGATAATATATATTATCTCAGGAAGACCATTTTGTCATTTGTAGTCTTGCTTTTATCTTTTGTATTACATTAGGGGTTTTTAAAAATCTTACAAAATGTAGTATTATTCACTATTAATTTTCAGAGGATATTCATTTAATGTTTTTATACTGGCCTTTTAACTTGCCTATATTTTATATATATTTTTCTTTTATATAGAAAAGTCAAATGAAGGAGTAAATGTAATTCAAGGTGCCATGTTCTTTCAGAATGCTCATTGAGCTTGTGTTTCGTCTTTACATGCCTCTTACGGTTGATAATAGACTAAAACTGTTAATCGACTTATTGATTATATTATTATCTGGACTGTTTGTGTAATTCTTTTGAAATATGCTGCATTTTGTACAGTTGGAACAAAGATTATGATGTTCTAGTTTATGTTGCTTCATGGTCTAAGGGTAGTTTAGAAATTATTCTGAAATTTTCTGCCTTTCTAAGTAAACAAATTGGAGCATATATCATTTGTAGGAACACCCAGAAACATCTTCTAATTGCTTATGTTAGAATGTTTTGTTAGGGCCGGCCTGTGGCTCACTCGGTAGAGTGCGGTGCTGATAACACCAAGGCCACGGGTTCGGATCCCATATAGGGATGGCCGGTTCGCTCACTGGCTGAGCGTGGTGCTGACAACACCAAGTCGAGGGTTAAGATCCCCTTACCGGTCATCTTTTTAAAAAAAAAAAAAAGAATATTTTGTTAAATATGTTTAAAAAATAGCTTGGCATGAAGTTAACAATATAGTTTAGCTGTCTGTTTCAGTACACTGCTGAAAGCACTGACAAAGTGCTTAGTAGTATGCGGTAAGCATTCTCAGTATTAACATATACACAAACATTTCTGAATACATTATGAAGTGTTGCCTAGTGGAAATAATAAGTAGAATTTTTTTTT